TATTCGAATTGTTTACGAAAAAGATCATTTTATCTTATAACTTTTAAGTATCAATTTTAATATAATTAGTACATAATCATTTAGTATTTTTAATTTTAATGTACTTCCTATAACATTTAAAATCTTTATTTGAATAATTTTTTTTTATTTATTATTTTATAACTTTATGTTTTTGATATATAATTCTTTAAATGATTGATTCATAATGTTAATTTTTTTTTAATTTTTACTTGAAAAAAAGTACAGCTAATAAAGTAGGGTAGTTTCCATGCTGCGAGATTATCAATGATGAATGATCGAACGGACGTAAGAAGAGCCATCCGCTAATGTCTGTATTTTGCAGCAACTCGTCGAGAAGGCTCTGAAACAGTGTATTCTTTCGCTGCTTTGATTATATCGCCGTAGGATAAATAAATTACATACTCGTAAATCACCGCGGTTGCAATTTCATTCTCCACATCGAAGGAATTCAGTAAAAGCTGCATGTTACGTTAATTTCATATATGTCTTTTACGAAATATCAAAGTAATTACGTTCTTATATACAATTCTTTCTATGTATATTTTCCTGCAATGTATATGTGTGTGTGTGGTCTCTTTTAAATCATAAAAAGAATCTGGAATATTTGTTTCTCTAGACTTAATTTTTTAGTGTTTAAAATTTAATTTATCTTTGACTCTCTAGAACTTTATCTTTGTTTAAAAGAAACTATATATAAAATAAATATAAAGATATACAAAAGTATACAATTAATATAAATGAAACTGTAATTGACATGGAATTTATTTATGTATATGTATATTATGTATATGTATAAATTCCATGTTAAAATTATGTTAATTACACCTTCATTTATATTAATTGAATTCTAACAAGGAATTATATTTTTTGTAAACAATTTTAAAATATACATCCGGATGTATTTCATTTGTGAACAATTACTGGAACCATAATGTACGTTGTTAAGAAGCATCCGTTTCTTCTATTACCTAAATCGAGGATGCAACTCAATCAGCCGGCGAGACGCGGCCAAGACAAATTTCCCGGACCTCGTAAGTGAGGTCTCGCCGAAAGGTTAACGAAGACCGATAGAGATGCGAAACGTTCGACAATCCGCGAACGAGGCGCAAACGAGGCATCCACCGTGGGCAATATCTCGAGGCGCGAGGCACTGGTTCGCGTGATCGTTCTCTACCCGCCCCCTCCCCGTTGGCTCGCCGCATCGGGATCGGCGAAAAAGAATATCGCGATGCAATCATCTCTCCGGATGAATCTGCATTATTGAGCGAACGGCGTTGAAAAGGTGCGCACGCGAGTTGGCCTCGTGGAAACAGGTACAACGAACGAGTAGGGCCCGGGGTCGGGCCCCGTCATCGCGGGCCTCGCGCCTCACGTCCGGGGCCACATGGCCACATCCCGGACCGCGCGCGCCTTGCAACCCCCCGCTGGTCCGCTCCGAAGAACGAGCGCCTTTTTTTTTCGATACCGATTATTGCGCCGATCGCGCGTACCCGATGCGGAACGGCACCATCTAGAGTCTAGAGTCTAGGATATAGACTTCGTAAAGCAAGTACGAGCGCGCGCGTGGGAACACGCCTTCCTTCTCCGCACGTTCGACAGGTTGAACGCTTTTCTACGAGCATTCCCACACGTCGGAATTAACGCGCGAAAATTAGCTTCGATCGGGATACGTCGAACGCGTTCTAATAACTTCCTGGATGCGCTTGCCGCGAGGAAAAGACTCGAAGGATCTTTATGCGCAACGGAGCAAATAAATTATACACTCGTAAATCATCACGGTTGCAATTTCATTCTCCAATTTAGTATAAAAGCTGCATGTTACGTCAATTTTATATACGTCTTTTATGAAATATCAAATTACGTTCTTTATGTAATTCTTCTTAGGTATATTTTTCTGCAGTATATGTGTGTGTGTGTGTGTCTTTTAAATTATAAAAAATCTGGGATATTTGTTTCTCAAAAGATTTAATTTTTAATGTACAAATTTAATTTATCTTCGATTTTGCTTCATTATGGTTTATATCGTCGCAATTCTATAATAAAATTTTTGCAAAAATCGTGAAAAAAACGAAGAAAAGAATATAAATTTCATTTCGTAAATAAAATGTATAAGAAGCTCTCTCTCTCTCTCTCTCTCTCTCTCTCTCTCTCTCTCTCTCTCATTATTCAACATAAACTTCTTCAAAATAATTTAATTTAATATGTGATGGATAATTTGATATCTTTTTTTAAAACATTAGAAATGCAATTAAAAAGTCAATTAAAAATCTGCAATCATCGATCAATCTAATAGATACATAATGAGTATCATCTATATTTTTTAAAAAAGAAGAGAATAAAAAATTTTTATATAATAATTAACTTTCTTATTTCGTAACATTTTTATTATGCTCACGCATATGAATATCATAAGTAAAATAATTTCGTATAAAATTTTACGAAATACCTACATATATTTCTCATATCTATTATGTCTCATATCTTGTTATGTCTCGTTGCAAAAAATGTTATACATATCCAATAACCGTATATTATAATATCATTTATAATTAAATATATTTTATGCACAAAAATTTCTCTTCTCTCGCCGTGTTCCTGAGGAGTTCAATAAAAAGTATATCCGATAAGCACATCTTGATCTATTCTATGGAAAAAAGGCGGCACTACAAAAGCTTTCACCTTCGTGACTCCGGAGAGTACACAGTATGATATGCATTCTATTCCGCATAATAGAAGTGGATCCAACGAGCGCCGACGAGAGCGTTCCAACTTCTCTCGTTAGCATGCATATTCCTCGCGAAATATTCGCGATCCTTGTACGGTCGAATCGAATAGTGCACCGCGCGATCAGTGAAGATCGAAACAATCGTTTCGTGAAACGAACGCGGCAGATCTTCCTGGTGATTCTCACGTTCCTCGACGCTTCGCAAAGACGGGACCATAGGTGTGAGAATCTGGTAAATAGCGCGTTATATACAAGCTGAAAAGCTATACCATTTAGAAATCGTTTAGCGAAAACTTTCTCTTTATCAAAAACTTTATGTCATCTAAATTTTTAATACTAAATATCTTGTGGTTAGAGGTGATGTTAAAATTACGCTTAATTAAAATTTACTTGAAATTAAACAACAGATCTATTCTTATAAAGCAAAACGTAAAATTATTTTTGCTTCTTATGAAACAAAAACAATCGTTTTCGACCGCTTTCAAATAAAAAAAGATTTTCCTAGGCCGACGTTTATTGCCCACGTTTAAATATTTTTTTTATTCGTGTTTAAATCCTTGACTCAGTTTCTGCAATCAATAAATTCAACTAATTAAAATTACACGTGTTATTAATTTATTATTAATTTATTAATAAAGATGCAGAAAAGTATGAGGTTGCCATGAATCCAACTTTTGTTATAAATGGTCCTCAGGAATATGTATATTTAAAAATAAAGACATTCAACAAAAGACATTAATATTAATGCACTAAGAAAAATATCTAGTTGAAAATGGACGAACCAAATAATTCTGACCATATCAAACAGAATTCCAATTATCAACTAGATTTCTTGTAGATTTAACCAGAAAATTCTGATTCGTCCATTTTCAACAGAAATTCCAATTAATCCAACATTTTTCTCAGTGTGTATTTATTAAGACAGGAATATTCAACTGCCATTATTAGCTTTAATTTATACAGATATAAATCTATAAGGAAACGCTGTCCGCAACGAAAGGTGCTTCGAGCATCACGACGCGACGATATACATGTAGCTTTTCAGCACTTTGTAGAGACATACAGGCGAGGCGCGGATTAGCGAACACGCGCGCGTGTGGGACTAGTGATACTGGTGCAACAACTTTCTAGAGTGTCGGCGGGGCCCGAAAAAAGAGCAAGAGCCACGGAGTAGCGGTGCCGGCGAGAGACCGCGAGCTACCTGCCCGCCGCAGGTCTCCTCGAGAATACCCACGGGATTGCGTAACAACCGCGCGCGCGTGATCGGCGGCACAACCCGTGTGCAACAATGTTGGCGGGTTGGGTCGCCCAGAAATCGATTTCATAGGGAATCATTGTGTGCCGCCTTTCGGAACGTGTTTATCATGCTCGCGTACCGGGTCCGCGTCGTTTTTTTTCAAACAAAGATTCAATTTGCGTGACGCAACTTCGTTTCGCGAATCTTCGTGAAACGCGATTTTTCTAATCGATCATTCGGCTTTCACGTGCGAGCCGCGGAGATCCTCGCCTTTGCCTCGATAGAGGGGATCGGAACGTAATCTGAGGAAATTGTATTGCGGTCTCTGAAGTTATGTAGGAGTATGAAGTTATGTACGAAATTAAACTATGTATGGAATTTAATGATTGAGTATTTGAATTTACAGTCAATTTCAAAAGACTGCTTGATAAAAGTTAGGATTGATAAATTTATTCTATTAAACTATAATCTTAATCTTTCTTTAAAGTTTCAAATTTAACGAAAGACAAAGAATCGATTAACCGAAATTAGTGACAGTTGCTTTTCAGATTAATTCATGTCGAGTTAGATCTTTATTATAAAAAAAGTATAAAGCATTATATAATATAAAGTATTAAGTAAGTGAGCGATGATAATCATATCGAACGAATATTTATTTTTATAATACTACATATATAAAGCACGATTTCACCAATGTAAGACTTAACTTTAATCTCGATTCAATTGACTCTTTATCTTTTTCTAATTTTAAGAATCATTAATTTATTCTCTCAAAAAACAAAAAAGATATTATTGAAAACCATTAATTATTAAGAATCATTAACTTATTCTCTCGAAAAAAAAAACAGAAAAAAATAATCGCCAATTGCGAGTTTAATTTTTGTATTCATCTCGAAATGCATTTTCGGTAAGCGGTTCTCGCATGGAAGCGCGCATGTAATGTCAGGAGAGGGAATGTTGCGTGAGGATAATGATACAGTTGGTAAACGGGTAAAAGAAACAAGTACAAACACTCACTTGCTGCTATAACACACTTTATCAAAATCCAGCAGAACACGCCGCTTGAAATAGTTCCAGTCCTTTTCGTCTTCCCTCGTTCCTTTTTTTTTTTCTTTTAATCGCCTCGAAAATACGCTACGAAGAGTCCACGCATTATATCATGTGCACGCCGCGCGTACCCGCGCCAGAGAGAGAGGTACGTCGTCGTCGTCCGCGAGGAACGTTAACGGCTACCTGCGCGATTCTTACTGCGGCGATCCGCTTTGATAATTACAGCGATGCGAACGGTTGCGAACGATATTTCCATGGGATCCAACATCGGGTAGGAGAGGAGCGGCGGAGAACGACGGGACGGAGAGAAGAGGAGAGGAGTGCTCCTGTCGGAGGATCCCTTTCCGCAAATGCCAGTCCGCCCTCTCGCACGCACAGCTGATTATCGATTAATATAGTTGTTGATTCCACGCTTGCGAGGAGCTTCATTGAATTATCCTTCCGATCGAACGAACAAATCGCGTGGGTAGGTTCTCCGTCTCTATCACTTTCCCCCTTCTCTCTTTCTCTCTCTTTCTCTCTCTCCTTCTCCCTTTCTCTCACGGGGTATGCTTATTTTACGAACGCGAACATCGATGATGTACCTTTGGCGCGCACTTCCTCCTTTATATAATAGGATTACGACGTGAGATTGCGAGAGGAGTTTCAAGTCCGTCATATAGAAACCGCGCGGCAACCCGAATTCACATGTCGAGGATCGGGAAACGGCGAAGCTCCCTCAATTCTCCAGGAAGGACACGAATTGCGTGAGCTTCTGCAGTTGCTCCTCCGTCAGGCAGATCTTGTCCGATTGGCTATACTGTTCCTCATCAATTTGTTTGCGTGGTTGCACTATGGTACCGTCAACAGTCCAGCCCCTGTCGGTAGCGGCCTGTCGCGCTTCGTCCAACGACATTCCGCTCATCGTTGCCATGGTCGTCAGGTTCAGGGAGGAGTATGCCTTCGATATCAGCCTCATCACCCGTTCTCGAACATTGTCTGCAAAAATCGGGGTCGAAATCGGGGGAGGTTCCGTTAGCGGTAACTCCTCTTGTTTAATAAAGAACGAGAAGTTCGATTAAAGAGTGACTCCAATGTGCTGTGTAGATTCCGCTTGAATAATCGATTATCGGCCGGCGTTGTTAAGCGATAATTATGTAGACGGTGGGTTTAATAACAATTGATTGTCGTTAATTATAATAAGGTACATATTTAGTCCTTGCTTCTACAGATGTAGGGCGCTAAATGAGGAAAGCAACTTGCCGTAGTTAACACGAAGTTGACCCGCATATGGTATTCATTAAAATATTCTTTTATATGTATATGCTTAACAAATCATCGTAATAATTATAAGAGATATAAGCAAACGGCAATATATTAGAATTATTTGAAAGACAGTAAATATCGCATTTGCGTTCAACGATTTGACAAATTTTTATCATCATTATAACCGATAATCCCTGAAACATTCGCGACAATTATGCACTTTTACATGTAAATATCTTCTTATAGATCAGGGTTGCCACAAATTCTTCGTCCTAAAATATCATAACTTTTCTCTCATTTCCAAACACACAAAATTTCATTATTTTGCCTGATGCTTTCAATAACATTTTGAAATTTTTTTCTAGTTTCGTACTGATTTGAAAAACATCAAATATTTTGTTGAGAGACAATTTAACATAGCAATATAAATTACTATTAATATTGATGACACTACTTGCATTTAATTACTAAGTTGGTAGTATTCCAAAATTGTGTAGATGTACGCATATTAACCTTCCGCCAGCGGACGCAGGGTCTCGCGAGACCCGCGAGTTAGAGTTGTTTACTCTTTTCAATCTTTTCGACTGTGAAGAAAATGAATAAATGGATTTGTTTCTATCATAATCAATATGTGTTTCTATTTCTCCTTCTACATATAATATTTTATACATATTATAATAAAGAAAATTGCTTTTCAAACGTTTCAAAACAATTTCATTCTTGGGTCACTTTTAACCCTGCGTCCGCCGTACGTGCAAGTATAATCACGACATCCGTTATCCGAGGGTTAAACTTCTTTTTTAATCAAGAATTTTTTAATTTTCCAGAAAATTTTGCAAAATTTCGACATTTTCCTGATTTTCTAATTTCCAATTTTGTGGCAACCCTGTAGATATCTTCTTGCTTACACAAGAAAATATAAATATCTCCTTGCTTGTACAAAAAAAAATATATATATATAATTTAATGACTGATGTCGCTAATTATCCTTAATTCTGTCTAAACGAACTAAATGTGTGTTTTATCAGCCCTAAGTTTATTATTAACTTTACTTTTTGCCTTATTGACTTACCTTTGAGGGCTGTCATAACATCTTTGACGTCTTCGCTCCATTCCACGTTTAGGGCTGTGTGAACCGCGGGCCAGTTGCGTTGCCACATGCATTGTCCTACCGTCCATACCCGTCCAAGCTCCTCGTGAGCGGCTTTTACATCCGGAGGGATACGCTTCCAGAGGTACTTTGCGTTGCATCTACGATAACCGTCGTACATTCAAGCGGGCCAATCGATAAGGAGAACCGATCGCGCTCCCAGGCATCTCAAACGCGATGCAAAAATAAAATTGACCGCAAACAAGTCAGCGCTTCGGCTTGACGAAATATTTCATGCGACGTTTGTGCTCTTGACGTAGTATTCGTCATTGAGCTTAGTCGCGAGAAACAGGGAAATAAAGAGACTCTCCGAGTATCTTTAAATCGAAATGTTTCGAATAATTATATAAACACGAATGCAACGCGAGGAAACAGAAAAATAGTTTGATTATAAATGAAACTATTGGATTTTAAAGCCTCCGAAATCACACGATTTTTGAGAAAATTGAACATTATCAAATTTTAAGATGACAAAGCAAGTTAAAGCTCCTAAACATGTCAGGAAACAAAAAATAATTATAAATTTGTTTTTTTTTTCAGGAATTAAATCACTATGCGATTAAACGCTTGTATTGTAAAAGAATTATAGTCTAGTAACTAGTAATTTATTTAACTAGTTTGGAGTAATAAATTTATTTAACTAGTTATAAATTAGATCCATTAAAAACAAATCTTTCTTTTAAAATTTATAAATTGAAGGCAACTACTTAAATAGTATTGCATAAAAAATGCATAATATTTAACAAATAAAAACTATATTATTTTTTTGAAGAAAATATTACTCATCATATATTATTAATAATATAAAATCGAACAACTATAGTAGTCTTATAAATATATATAATCTCATCCAACATATCAACATAGTGGCCTTACAAATTCATATAATCTAATCCAACATGCTTTAAAGGGCCTATTTTGTAGCCTCTTAACGACTGTAATTGCAGCATTAGTGTTGTTGCACAGGTTTTGTACATGATAAAAAAGCTATGCAACGACACTGTAATGTAATGCGTGGTCTATAATGGCAGTATCAGTAATGGATGAGGCTGTAAGAGTAAGAAATTGACCAATCACAGTCGATTATTTTTCTTACATTCAACTGTAATTGGTCAATTTGTTACAGTCTCGTCTATTACTGCTACTGCCATTGTAGACCATGCATTACAGATAGGACCATGGCACACAAAAAACTTAAGACAGTAAGACATAAGCAGTAAGGAAATCAACATGTTGGATTGGCCGCTGCTTACGTTATAGCCTTACAGACTCTATTGTAATTGGTCAATTCGCTTACTGCTTACATTTTACTGCTTAAGTTTTTTGTGTGCCTAAAATCATTAAGAATTAGATACGCCCCTTAATGAAAAATAAATCAAATAAATGAGAATATAGTGGCTGCGTTCAGTAGAAAAAGCATCTTTATAACTGTTGTAATGATTAGTTTTGTCCTTAGTTTCTCATTGGATCTAAATATATAAACCGATCATATTAAAGAATCTTACAACAGTTGCAAAGCTGCTTTTTCTATTGAACGCAGCCAGTGAAAAAGATTTTTTACTTACAAATCATTCCGATGGAGGTAGATAGCCAACAGTCGCATGTAGGCTTGTGCGCTTATAACTCCAGTTGGAGCCTGAAACAGCAGAAAATAAATAATTAAAATTTACCACTCACCAGCGATGTTCGAAGCAAAATTTAATTTAAGTACTATCGGCAAAAGTACACGGACAAAAGAGCGAACGGAATCGACGGCCGACATAACCTACAAAGCGCTCTCGCTCGCATAATCGCAAGACTCACCTCTAATTCGCTTATTTCTAATTCGTTCATCAACTTGTTGAGCTCGACCGTGCAACTGGGCACCATGATGACGATTCTGCTAACTATTGTGACGACACGAAATCCCAAAAATGCGCCGACATGGAGACCACGAGCGGCAAAACGAAACGCAATGACGCGAAGGACGCAAACAGCTGAGTCCAACGCGGCGCGGAGGATCGAAAAGTTAACAAGATAACAGGCACCATCTCTCATGTGATGCTGCATATTATTAGTCTTATACTGCATGACCATGGATGACGGAAAACTTCCTTATCGATGACGTCGAATATCTGCTGTCGATATCTTGATGAATGTTTTTTTACATTTATCATATTATTTTTCAGAATTTGTAAATTTCCAAATTTTTTAGAATTTATATATAATTTTATAACTCCATAAAAACTTCTCAGATTTCTAATACGAATTAGTACACTTTAAAAGTGTTGAGAAAGTACAAACCATTTTTTTTTAGAATTCTTCGTATATGTGAAATGAAATAATTTAAGATTTCTTGTTCGAAATTTCTGAAGAAAGCTTATAAAACCTGAAAAGTTTAATTTTTTGAAAAATTTTTGAAGATTTAAAGTATAACCATAAATTCTTCAAAATATTATGAGATATGAGAATATTTTTCATTAGAGCACCATAATATTTATCTGTTATTGATATAGCTTTTATTTATGTCTTCCATATATCGGTGTTCCAAAACCCATCGAGGAAGAAGTATTTGCGAGGGGATTGTCTCCCTTCTCCTCTTTTCCTGCTCCATCTCGTCCCCTGTCACTCTTTCATTTATAGTAGAGAAGTAACATCCTGTGTGTATCTGAGCGTTATAGTTAGATGGCAAGGTAGAACGGCAATATTATATTATTCACCTTGGCGAAGTATGAATCGAGATGTAATTACTGTAAACATCCTTGAAGGTGCTAAGTGTCCTGTGTAAAAATGACAATGACATGGAAACGAATTGAGGAAAATTCGGGAGTAGGTGAGGATAAGTTTTCGTATACGAGGAATGAATAACCTGCCACTGGGAAACTCCAACATCCTGGGAGGTGCCCTCCCGAGTTCAGATAAATTCTCGTCACAACACGTTTTCCACATTTTGACAGACTTGCGTTCGAATATCGAATTTCCAGCTTAAATACTTCACGCATGATATTTTCGCGAATATCGAATATTTACGTGACAACATTCAAATGATACAAATGATAAATCGTCATAAAAGTATCGTGTATTTCTCTAGTTTTAGTTGGTTTAGAAGAAGTTCCTTTGGTGTCTTTAGAAAATGAAGTTAATTATTTTAAATCATGTTTTTAATGATGTCGATAAATGTTTTATTGAAATGCATGTTGATTATTCGTTAAGAAAAAACACCCTACGTTTCACTCACATTTGTTTTGTCTCAATAAACTCAGCATGGAATTTATCAATATATGCAGTATTTGAAAGTCAATTTGAAGATACAAATTTTATATTTTAAAACTATTTTTAAATTATAATGTAAAATTAAGTAAATAAAATATTGGATTTTATTAATGGACATGCAAACTCTCCAAAGAATTATAATCCTGAAATTAATGTAGAGAGAGAGAGAGAGAGGACAATGTTTCACAACTTAAATTTTGTTGAAATATTTCGTGCATAATCCTCGAAAATTATACTCCTGAAAAATCACTTGGAATGCCAAAATCATGGACACATACCCTATATTTATTTTTGTATTTTATCACTTTATTTAGCCGTCCATAATTTTGCACACCCAATCCCGCACGCAATATGCTTAACGGTTGGAGAGGTTGTACAGATAACTGCGGAATGTGCAGATTGGTATTACGGCCGCAGCAAGTTTAAAGGTACATGTGGAATTTTTCCAAAATCCTACATACATATCCTACAAAAATCAACGAATACGGATAACTTAGTACAAGAGATTACAAACGTCTTAAGAGAATGGGGGCATCATTGGAAATATTTATATGTGGTATGTATAGAGTGCTCATCATAGATAGTTTGCTTATTTCTGGAAATAGAAAGAGTACTATACAGACATAACTTGATAATTCTGTATGTATAGACACATTCCGAGTACTTCAGAGCGATGCAGCAGCAAATTCTGGATGCAATTGGATACAGAAGCAAGATTTTGAGTGGGACTTTAACAGTAGACGAGTTAAAGGATATGAAGAGATTGACGACAGCAAAGATAGACACTGGAAATCAGTTGTTAGGTTTGGATATGGTGGTTCGAGACGAGCATGGAAATATTTTGAATCCCATAGAGACAAGCACTATTCAATTGTATTACCATCATGAGACTGCTGCGGAGAGAATAAGAAAAGCGTGCAATGATACCAAGAAAAAACCCTATAAGCCACAAGTACCTGTATATTCACATATCTTCTTCGTCAGTGTGAGAAATTTTGTATGTAAAATGGCAGAGGATGTAGAGCTACTGTTGACTTTATACGACGGCAGAGAGATGAAAGCTATCACAGAGAATTACGTGGTATCATGGAGTAAAGAGGGACTCGCAAGGGACATTGATCAGTTGCACAATCTTAGAGTATTATTTACGGATCTTGGTTCTAGAGATTTAACAAGAGACAAAGTTTATTTAGCCTGTTACGTAATTAGAATAGGCGGTATGGAAGCCAAAGAACCAGATCACCGTCGCTCAAGTGTTACACAAGCCAATCAAACAAAAATCAAAAGCGCGGAAATTATGAGGAGACCGTTTGGTGTAGCCGCAATGGATATTACCTTATTCATTACCGGCAAGCTTGAGGGTGATGTCGAGCAACATCATTTTATACCTTTTGTACAGTAAGTACATATTTGCTTCAATTCAATTTTAATAAGATTAATACTTTGTATTATTTTATATTAATACTTTGGTTTTTAATAAAATCGGAATACTTTGATTTTAATAAGATTAAATAATATGATATTTGTGATTAAAGTGTCAAAGGAAAGCATTATGATGGTTCTTACAAAATCGAGATAGAATTCTTTTTGTTGGTTTTCTGTTTTTGTTTCAGATGTTGTGAGAAAGATAGTCTTGATGGTACGCTACGTAGAATTATTGCACAAAAAGAAGCAAATATCCAGAAACATGTCAATGGTAATATTGCCAATGTCACAGGAGGACAAGGATTATGGACTAGCTTAAAATTGTTAAGGGGTGATCCGAAACAGGTAAGTTTTAAAATAAAATTATTCTGTGAAATTACTTTGATTATGTTATAAAAGGAAAATTATATATATTCTGCCATACTTGAAAGGTACGTGATGAAAACCCACATTTGGTACTGGGTAATGTTGCTATCGCGCGTAAAATGGGATTCCCAGAAGTCATTTTGCCGGGTGACGTACGCAATGATCTGTATCTAACATTAATTAGCGGTGAATTTAGCAAAGGCTCCAAATCTACTGACAAAAATGTAGAAGTAACGGTTAGTGGGAACATAAATTTAAAAAAATTGTATTCTATATACACTTATACATATATATGAGTATTTGTAAATTTTAACAGGTTAAAGTATGTAATGAATACGGTATTGCAATTCCCGGAGTTATGACATTAGGTGGCGGCGTGTCTCCAATTGACGAATATCGTAGCGTTATTTATTATCACGAGGACAAACCTAGATGGTGCGAAACATTTAAGATTGCCATACCTATAGAAGAATTTAAGCAGGCCCACTTAAAGTTTACGTTTAAGCATCGTAGTTCTAACGAGGCAAAAGATAAGTCTGAAAAGCCGTTTGCTTTAAGTTACGTTCGATTAATGCAACGCAATGGAACGACTCTACAAGACATACAACATGAATTGTTGGTTTATAAATTAGAACAGAAAAAGTACGAGGAGAACGATATATCTTACTTTAAATTGCCATCAACACGTGGAGAATTGGTATACTTATTTATTTGATAAAGAGATAAAAAAAATAATTTTTTTAAATTATAATACCCCTAAATGTTCTGAATTTTATTTTATTTTTTCTTTATTTTCGTTATATATATTTTAGGCTGAATTAAATATGGAGAAAAAGCCAAGTTTAGGATCGTTAACATTAACCAGTAAGGACAGCTTTTTAATAGCAACTAATATTTGCTCAACTAAATTAACCCAAAATGTAGACTTATTAGGTTTACTCAATTGGGCGTCACACAATACGGACTTAAAAGAATCTTTAGCTGCTTTAATGAAAGTTGATGGGGAGGAAATAGTGAAGTTTTTGCAGGTAACAATAAATCTAATTTATCGAAAATGAAAATTATGTATACATAATAAGAAATAGTATTTTTATAAAAGATAATTATATTCTGTTTTTTAGGATGTTTTGGATGCTTTATTTAACATTTTAATGAGTAATTCAGACAGTGATGTCTACGATGACATGGTCTTTGAGTGCCTTTTATATATCATCGGACTCGTGTCCGATAGAAAGTATCAGCACTTTCAACCAGTATTAGATTTATATATTTCTGAAAGTTTTTCTGCAACTCTTGCATATAAGAAATTAATTGCGGTATTGCGCAAACGTATAGACAGCGTCAGCAATGGCGATGGTCAGGAACGAGATTTGTTGCTTAAAACCATGAAAAGTTTGCAATACTGCATGAGGTTTATTGTTGAATCTCGTCTTTTATTTACTGAGTACGTTTTATTTTTTATTACATATATAATTTTTTTATACATTATGCAATCGTAAATGAAATGTTTTATAAAATTATCTAAATAAGCTAAGTAGGTACTCCAAAAAATAATTATTTTCAATAAATTTGTAATTTATTTTAAAAGGTTAAATCAAGATGAAGAAGAATTCTCACAAACTTTAACTGATCTCTTACGGTCTATCGTTAATCTCATGAGTCACGAAACAGATGGTACTTTGTTGGTTCAAGGAGCCTGTCTCAAATATCTACCAACAACGATACCTCATTTATTAAGAGTTTATAGCGGCAAGCAACTGAGCACGATTTTAACAGATTTACTTGTGACTTTACCAACCGGTAGATTAACCAAACAAAAAATGATGACAGTAAACGACATTGTTCACAGTCCGCTTTTTTTAAATGCAGACTGTAGAGCGATTTTATTACCGAGAATTACTATACTTGTCAGAGATTTA